GAGTTCAAAAAATATTGAAAATATAATTAACCTTTCCTGCCTCTAAAATCATTAACTCAGAAATTTAAATAATAAAATGAATGATATATTTAAATTTTACTTTTTCATGTTTACGATCAATCGGTCAATTCAATTTATCGCGAACCCGATGTCCATTAAACCCAACGGGAACACTTTCCAAGCCAACCATGATCAGTCCTAAGTATCTCATTTATTCGCGATGATTTTTTTCCTCAGCTCTCTCTTAGCACACAATGAACAATCACCAAGCTCGGTGAACTAAGGAGAAATATAGATCGAGCAGACAATCCGGACCAAGAGGTACCCCAAGCCCTACTCGCGAATAATACATCATGGTTAACAGACGAAGTATAGGAACACAGGTCTGTATCATTTAGCACATCATCCATGATTCATGGAGCCCTAAACTGATTAATGTTCAGCATTAAATCATTCCTGAAGTTTCTCTAAACATACGCCTCGGAAATGCTTACGATCGTTCGAAAATAAAATTTCGTATTTTCAACAGAACCATGAGAAAATAGTACTCTGGAATCTTACTAAAAATACTGTTCCAATGAATTGTCTTTGATCTGATCCCTAAAGACGTTAACTCGCTAAGAAGCAGAAGGTCTGAAAGATTGACGATTCGAAAGCAAGCTGTTAACCAGCTCGAAGACTCAAAGACGTATCGCAGACGTGGAATTACACCCTCCCTGCCGTCGCACAGTGACCCAGGAACCCTCGAGCAAAGGTTCGTACGGTGTTATCCAGTCTGGCCAACCGGGAGCAACAGCAGCTCTCTGCTCAATGAATGATTTCCGCGCGCTGTTGCCACGCTACGTCTGCATTCTGCACCCATTACTCCTTCTACCCGCTTGACATTTTATCGTTTCCTATGCTTTACTATTAAATATTGCACAATTATGCCTCGACGCGGTGACCTAACATCCAGACACGTCGCGTCAGGGCTACGTCATCGTTTAGCTCTGACCGCGAGAAACGAGGATGATGAAAATGTTTATCGTTGCTTAATTGACGATTTGGGGGGAAAGAAGATTAATGACGGCGTGGAAATTAAGGACAACAGTGGAAGGAAGTGGATTAAATTCGAACTATTCGAACGTCTATCGGTATAACTTGGCGAATCCTCTAAATTTTGTCTAAAAGTATTGATGATCCGACGAGAAGAATGCAAATACTTATGCAGAAATTTATAATTGATGACGTTATCGAAGTTATAAATCCAAAAACGTTCCGGGAATGTGGTTCGCGTCACGAATCAATCATCTGTATGCAAATATGATTACCATCTGTTCGCAACTACTTAGAATGCCCTAGAAAAACAACAGAAAAAATTTCAGATGCACGCATGAATCATAAAATTGACTGAAAATTCCTGTGTTAACGGGAGCTTGTAAATCGAAATTCAACATAATCGTTGTTTTCGTAACAGAAACGAAAACCGAATGACAACGCGATTCTACGAAGAGAGACGCGAACGATAACAAGGCAAAGTTTGACGTAATTGCTGATAAATTCCCTTTGTCTTACTACCGAGTAACAAACATTCCGTGAACAACAAGTGCATCATCGAATCATACAGACACGAATATGCCGGCATTCTTAAGACTCGAATCAATGATAAAACAAGAGAACCCAGGTAGCTGGATATTCCGTCCACTTCCGTTCTACGATTGGCGGAGTCGTTAAGCGTTAATAACGAATCGCGTGTATCGGCTGCTCGAGAATGATTGATCATCGTCTGCAACGAGCGTAAATGATTAAACGGCAACGCGGTAAAGGCGCGGCTCCGTACTGCGTTCCATCTTACGAACGGCTCATGGCTTTCCCCGTGGAAAAACGGGGAAAATAGGATACGTTAATTCCGGAAACACGCTGGATGAACAACTGGTCCATACCGAAACAGAGATACAGAAACGTGGCACACTCTGTTTCTGCGGTTGATAGCCGAAATATCAATGAACGAGGACCGATTGATCATTGGCTATCGATTATCTGGCCTAATAAATGCGCAAACACATGCTCCCGTACGTGAACGTTTCCGCTTTTCCTGCAACTTGCGTGTACATTATCGCAACCAATGGACACTGATATCTTTCAATCATGGCATTATGCAGGCTGCGTTATGGCTCTTCAATAAATTTCCAGGATTAATGACATAGATGGGCTCATTTGAAGAGAGGAGAATAGAAATGTATCATTTTCATACACCATGAGGGCGGAAGGGTGACGATATAACAAGAGTCTATTGTACGTATTTGAACACCCGACACGATATTTTACAATAAAACGCTAACAATTAAACGCAAGAACCTCTGGGGCGAATGAAAATAGCGAGATATGAAATTGAATAGAATTGTCTTTGAAAAAGGGCTGCTAACAGTAGTCCTTTGTGCATTAACTAAACGCACGTGTGAGAGCTTCCCATAACATTCAACATCGAATGGTATTCAATCCCGGAAACGCGAGAAGCAATTCTACCAGCCGGTTAAACGATTACGAAATTAAATTCAATTCTCACTGCTGGCACGATCAAAATTGAAACGCGAACGTTTACGCCGGCCTGTATGCCCGTGAAGATACTGAAAGACACGTTAAAATCCGAGCGTTCTGCATGTAAATTACTGGCCGACTATGTATGTCCCGTCCACGATACACGTGCAGTAAACTACCTAGATTTACGCGTCCCTGCAACAACGCACCGCAAAACACGTAGACATACGTGCCTCGAGCATACTTTCCAAGTGACACGTGTTGCATGACCAAATAGTACATGAAAAGTATGTATGCACCAATGGAAGGTAGATAACGAGAGATTTCTCATCGATATTCCTCTCGGCTTAGAAAGCTAAGCATAACGAGACTCGTTCGAATCTGGCTTCGTTTAAGAGTACGGAGATTTTTTGAAATTTCTACGCAACGAAGAAACCGACAATGCTGCCCTAAGGCTTAGCAAAATATATAACAAAGAGAAATTGTAACAGAGGTATGTATGAAATGCTTGACAATAAATACTGCGAGTCTATCAATTTATTCTGATTACGTCCTTAACCCTACATGATCCAATATCAAAGCTAACTCGAGTTATTTCAGTCCAATTGCGATGCAGAAGCTTCGAAGAGTGAATGGTGATTTGAGACCGGATTGCCTAATCATTTTATTAGAAGCACAGTCGTCAAAGTTGAAACGTACAAAGTTGTAAATGAAAGATATGAAATTTAGTGACCGGTGAACAATACAAATGAACCAGTCTTGTCCGTGTAGAAAAATTAACCGAACGAGTAGCAATCAGAGACAACGAGGTCTAACGATCTATCAGAGGCTGAGGGCGTTGGTGAAAAACAAAAAGCAAGGCGCGACAATGGCAGAGACTTTTCGTGGGAGCGTGATAACAAAGCTCCCTTCGCGCGAACGTTCCCGTTAAAAGGGAAGAAGGGAGTAAGAACTCGAGTCCACCGGGTTCCCTTCTTCCTTCACCGCTGTTTTTCTCTTGCTGTTCCCGCCTCCCTTTGTCCGTGGCTCGTGCAACGACCGACGACCCGACAAGATAGCGCCACAACCGGAGGAAGTACACGGAAGGGAAGTGAAAGGAAAAGGGAAAAGAAAGAAGAAAAATTATGGAAAAAAACAGGTGTAGGTAGTAGTTGGTTGAAGCGAGCACGAGGGGTTTGTTTACAAGCCGCGGAACTCGACTCTCTTCGAGTTCCTTGACTCATCCATCGAACCAGCTTAGTTCTATTTTCTCTTACATTCCCTTTCCCGCCAACAACTCGGCAATCTCTTTCTTTATCTTTTACCGTAACTTCTTGCTCGCTAACTCATCTTTCCACGTCGAGCCGTACGCGAACGGTAGTACGCAACTACGAGGTGTCCCGGCAAAAACGCTCCTTCACCGGAGCTACGATAATGGGAGGCAATTGGTATCGATTATCGTCGCGGTGGTCGAAACGGGAGGTGAAACAGGCTCGGTATAGGCAGAGGGCTAGATCGAACCTAACAAGGGAAGTGTACACGACCTTCGAAACGGTAATTTGCTCGAAAGTATACACGAACTAGTAGTTAAAATGGTAAGCTATGGAAGGGAGTTATTAATTTTCGGCTCTTCTATGTTCGAGCATAGTTCGAACGAAATCGGTGTACCGAAGGTTGCATATCCCCCTTGAAAGAAGCGCCCAGCGCATCAGCCATTGTTCCTTTTGTTCACGGCATGATCAGAGGTCTCGAAAGGATAGGATATTCGGTCAATAACCGATCGGACGGGTTGATAACAATGCACTTGGTTTGCAAACACCTATCTTGGATCTCGTACAAGTATTTCTGGCAAGGTGTACCCGCGGCCAAAAATATCCAGTGTCGAGGAAAAGCCGAGTCCAAGAATTTGTAGGTTTCGAGTACTCGACCGAGCGGTTGAATGAAAACGCGTGGTCAACGTAGGTTTGCGAAACTATTGCAAAATCTTTGTTGTTCTATTATCAATCTTCATTAGAACGCGAGATACTACGAAAAAAGGCTTGCGAAATCAATATTACGTGTACCAGTGCGTGATTCACTGGTCTTTCAATAACTTTCAATCATGTTGTTATAATTCTGTTGGTTTAAAACAGGAGTAGGGGGAGGAGAATGGTACTGGTTGCTTTAAATCTTGAGAGAACCTAGGGAAATCTTAAGGAGAATAACACTGAATCTCCCGCCTTCGCAGATAAAGAACACGTACAAATAAAGCGAGCGATGGAACATTCCTTCCCCTTCGCTTCTCCTTAACAAGACTGTACATAGTACAATTTTCCTCTATACAACGCGACACGAGTCAACATTCCAACGCGACCAAGATAAAACGAGCACCGAGTCTCGACTGATCGCAAAGCATACCTTATCGTCAAGCGTAATTCCTATAAAACTTAATTAACTAGGTCGGCTTTCGGACGATTCACCGAAAGTTAGAAATGAGCAAAAACTCAATGGAATTAAGGACTCACCGATGACGGTGTTAGCAGCGACTTCTTTGGCTGCGGCTGCAGCCGCTGCGGGGCCATGAGCGAAGAAGTCGCTCAACGACAACGAGGACGCGATGATCTGTCGTTTCTCCTCGAAGTTCAGATAATCCAGACTGTTGCTTCTCTGGGGTCCGGCGACGATTGTCACCGTTTTCGTGGCGTGATGATGGTGTTGCTGGTGGATACTGTTCTCCACCGCGATATTACTATTCTTCTCGTTGGCCGCCTCGTTCGAGGGCGGATTCGGCAGCAGGTAAACACCGCTGACGCGTATCGACATCGTCGACGGGCGATCCTTGAAACGGCCGCGCTTTTTCCTCCTCCAAGGGCTGAGGATCGCGACCAGGCCCGGTAAAGAAGCTACCGGTTGCTGGCCAGCTGGAACATTCTGACGAGTGGCCGGTCGAGAGGTCGGCTCGCGTGGCTTGTTACTTCGAGGCAGCTCCACGGCTCGGCGTTTAGTGCGTTCACGATCGCCACGAGGAAATTGATGGCCTCTTATGCGCGCTTCTGACAGCGGCTACCGTCAGACGTTGATCGTCCCGCCGAGCGTATTAGACGCCCGGCCTTTGATTAGTAGTTTTGTATTCTACGTACAAAAGGTACAAGATGGCAGGATTGTCGTTATAGCATTGGCAAATTTTCCATGGACCAAAGGGTGTCGCGCGGATAACCTTGAACGGATACCAGAGCCTCCTCCGTGGTACGGCTTCCCTTCGACGCTTATGGCACTACGCGATCCACGACGGACGATCGGTTATCTTGCGCGGCAAGGTTACTTCGACTGGTCGGTCGAAAACGATCCTTATTTACGACGGAAATGAGCGTGACCCTTCCGCGCGTTTTTCTCGTGACGGCCACGAGAGTGTACTCGGTCGACGCTCGGCGAATCGTCCTGCGCAATAGGAACGGAGTAAAGTTAACTCTGCCGATGGCATTGGTCGGCTGTCATGAATGGCGTGCATTGTGTCGTTCGGGACAAACCAGCAACGATTATGTCCCCGTCCCACGAAATGTCTCATCACCGTCCACCGACCTCTCCTCTCTTCATCTAATTGAGAGAGCTCTACTTAATCAAACATGTAACGAGCGTAACGCTTGATACGCGACATTCCGAACCGTTAGCGAAGTCACGTTTTAGACGTATCAGCGAAAAAAATATACGACGACACCTTTTTGATTACGATTTAAGAAATATCCGGTAAGGTGAACGACAACGGCGCCGTTCGGAACGGAGCCCGCCTAACCTAACCTCCGTACTCCAAAACGCGGCGAGACGCGACGAAGGTCGAGAGCACTCGCAAAATGAAAAGAAAAAATATAAGTAACTGACTGTTTGTCTTGGTTCAGAACGTAGATATATTCCGGTTACGTGAAACACAATAAACTTGACGAAACCGATAAGAATGTGTTCGCGTACGGACCGACTAAGAGTAACCTCAAACATCCGGGCACGTAGTCGACTGGCAAACAACGATTCCTCGTATAATACTGACAAGTTACAGCGCACGTAGAAAGCATTCGGAGACGGCTATTCGTGAAACGACGTATAACGCGATGGCTGAAGCATGGTGGCCGGTGAGGACGCATTTCGTGGGCGGTCAAAGGGACTGCACGACGTACTTGATTCCTCGGGGGGCAGTGTGGATGGCTGCTTTTCGGCAGGATTCGTATAATATACCGTCGAGGTGTCCTCGACGTTTAATATCACAGCGATGACGATTCACGGCAGGCGTCGCCACTCCTTTTCACGGGACACCTGTGTGTGCCGTGTAACTGCAGGTGAGAGGAGAGCGAGACGGAGAGAGAAAGGACGCAACGATTATAAACACAGAAGCACATAGTACGCTGGTACGCGGTTAAGGGATACGTTGAAGAGAGACGGAACAGGCAGAACTGTGACGATGCACCGTGCTACACAAACTCCGAACTTAGCACGAGAAACGAAGAATACGAAGACGACGAAGACGACGACGACGCCGACGTCGACGTGAATGCACGCACACGAAAATTGACACACACGCTCATCGGTGTTCGCGCACACGACGGTCACAAACGCGACGTCTTCGCGTTGAATGTACGCTCCGAGACGAGCGATACTCTCCGTGTATAGTACACGATGCGCGATACCGATTGCGCTGTAAACGCGCCGGACGGATTCCCGACGGAATTTAATTACCACTCTATCAATGTAACGTGTAAAAACAAAACGGAGCCGAGACGAAACGAACAACAACGACGATCACCGCGCCACGAAACACGCACCGAGCGAGGCTCGCGAACACTGAGGGCGGCCATTCGATCGCAGCGACGCCACGCGACGCCGACCAACACCAGCGTACACGAGACAAACGCTCCGCTCCGAAACGTGACGGGGGGAAAGCGAAGCTACACACTATACCCGGTTTCCTCGTAATTTTTCATTAATGAATTTACGAACGACTCCAGACTGGTTGCCCCGACTGGAACGAGCTTGTTGTTCCCCCTTTGGAAGGAAATATATATTCTCTCTAATGTATTTCATTAACTTCCGGGTTGCTGGTATAAAACGCGGGTAAAATGAAATTGCTTAACTTGCACCATCAGCAATTTTTTTCCTTGCCTCATGGTGTATCAAAAAATGTGAAATAAATGTGGTATGTTTTGTAGCATGATTTACATGGTTTTCATTTTTCATATTACATCCATTCATTGTTTCAAATGAAAAATTACTTCTTTTGTTTATTAAAGTGAAATTGATTTTTGTATATATAGGAGTAACAATTATATTGTTTGCTCGCATGTAGGTCACAGTTAATCCGCCATAACGATTAATCAAAGTTTAATACGCTAATTGAAAACTGCCCCGACCTAGTATCGGCGAAGCTGGAAAAATGACGATCACATAATGCATACGTGATAATGATGAAACGTGTTACACAATAACATTCTGAAAGCTTATCAGGTTGTACGGTTTGACGCGTTTCAATTTCTCTACGTACGCTCTTTTGTGTCCTTAATCGCGAAAAATGATAGATTACGTTGGAATGTCGTTCGTCTCGCATATTACACGCGAAAAATGTCAACCACGAGTCACACTCGTGATCGACTTTGAACGAGTGTAATGATAATTGTAGACCACAGTCACGCGAACATGCGGCAACGGCAGAAATCTTTTGAAAAGATAACTCATTGTGTGCTTTGTAATCCTACGCTCTGCGGGTTTTTCTCCTGCCTGTGTGCACACCTATTAAGTGGTTGCATTTAAACGCTCTCAATCGAGCAACGAGCGAACTCGTTCCGTCTTGAAAGTCAATATCTTCGGAATACCGTATAAAATTGTTTGCAAGCAACTTACGTTTTAATTACATTGTTGCGGGAAAATGGAATTTAAGCATTTTCAAACGGACGAAAAGTCTATGAATTCGATTAACAGACTCATTTAGGGATTAATTAGAGTTCCAGCAGGCAATTAGAGAAACAAGGACATTCAATTTTCAAGCGATGCCGATTTAAGCAGTTTTCAGAATTTTCATTTCCCAACGCGAAACGGTAAATTTGGGCTACCGATTCGATTACCGATAATATCGATAAGGCGCGAATGTTCGAATCGGAAGAATCATCAGTGAGAGTATGAGGCGAACCACGTGGTATTTCCGTGGCGTCTAGACTCTCTAATTTAAACCGACTCGCGAATCTACCGATGTTTCAGCCCCGTCTAGCCGCTGTCACAACGAACGACTGAAATATGAGAAACACTCTCGAGCCCATTCTCGAAGGGAGCAGCGAACTTTTTTCGCCGGCTTCGCCCCAGATCGCGTATTCGTTAGGAAACAAAGAGGGCCAAAGCAGACTGCTCTTTCGCGATTCCCGTGTACCACGCTCCTGCTTACGCACGATGAAAAGATACACGGTGAAATTTTAATTGAATTCGGAAGCTTTCTGAAAATAGAACGGAAACGGGTATTACGTTGTACGGTTTGCTAACCGGTGTTCTCATCCTTTACGCTCGATTGCGGCTCGGGGCAAACGTGCGTTCCCGACGAAAAGTAGCGGAAACTACGGCCAAGAAATGCATTTATTGGCACAAATCCAGTGGAACCTCTTTTCCAGCGTGTCCCTCGCCAACGCGACAAATCAACGAGAAACGACTGTTTTAAACACTGACTTGATACAAATATATATTTATTTCTTTCAATATTTTGCATTTCTTACTCGATTTCTATTTGTGGTAAACACCGCCTCGATCACCCTGTATAGATCCTTTCTATAATGGCGATGGCTGGCGAATAAAGTATGAAGGTGTAACGGAAAGGCTGCGTTACGCTTCAGTTCAATGGTCAAAGTATTATACTTCCGTTTATCGGCCATGGGTCGCGAAAGGTTCTTGTTAAGCCAGGTATAAACCATCCTCTGAGCCGATCCATCGATCGCTATGAATTAAGGTCAATCTTTAAGCTGAAAAGAAGCGACTAAGCTTCGACTAAGTATATCTAAGTAGATGCTTGTCTCGTTACGTCCGCGTGTGCAACGATACTTTCGCTGTGAACGAAGGCTGGTCTCGGTCGTGGATCTATAATTATTCGGCACGTTGCGAACGATTCCAGGAACGGTTCGCGCGAACAAACACGCCGCCCACTTAACAGTATTATTAATTGCAGCGAGGAACAAGTGTCCTCGACGGGCCGAATTACGAGACAATTTACAATTAAACAGCGGAGCGAGACGTTTAATTAAGGAGAAGCGTCGCGTCGGTGCATCAGCGTGAACCGCGTGCGTGCAACGCCGGTTGCCGTTGCATTTACGGGCGCCCGTGCATTCGCATCTTCCAAAATGCAATCTGCCTGCAACGAGCAACCGCGGGGTTTAAGCTCATGATTCCGTGGAAAAAATCACTTTCCGCGAACTCCATTTAAGGAAACAACTTCCCCTTTCCTTTCTGTTTACCACACTGACAAATTGGAATTTCTTCGATGATCGTTCGTGAATGGTATGCATTGCAAATGATTAGTCAATTAGAGTTGGGAAGCTTAAAAAATGTTTACCCTCGTCGCGGCAATATAACGAGAGACTACTGTAATATTAATATTAGCTGTGATTTTGGAGAGGGGGTACTTCCAGTGTAATGGTAAATGTAAATTATGCAGCATTGGCTGGCTGCATTCCCATTTCCAATGTGTTGATGTACTCGCGGTTGACACACAGACTTCACTGTTCTCTATCATCGTTTATTTATAAAAACACTCGTTGAAACTATGTATGAATTTTGTAATATTATGTACTCTTTTATAAGATAAGATGCTACAAGATACTACAATAATAGAATGATGAAGTAGAATTCAAAATTAATGCAGAAAAAAATTGTATGACATTATTAAGTGATGGTTATTCTCCATTACACGAATAACCATCGTGGAACGTCTGTCATTTTGTTTTACCTTTGCGTTGAACCACCTATTCTAATAATAAGGAACATGTGGTGTGTGCATTACGCAAAGGATACAATGAAATTAAAATCTCGAACAATGAAGTATAGAGAAAATCGAGTTTGTTAGTATAGAAAGGAAAGGTGAAGATGGAGCACCAAAACAACGAAATACGATGGGGCGCCAACGCAAGAGCGGTCACCCATCTTTCCACCTAACGCGGTAAAACGCGCTTAACGCGATAGAACTACTACAGCGGCACCCATACGGCGCACCCATTTTCACATACGATGAATATTACTTTTTCTTTACGTCTGGTAGATGTGATTGTTCATTATTATTTAAACAGAAATAAAATTTCTTAATATAATATAAATTTCCAATTTATTTAAGATAGAGAATGCTCGATAATTGTAGAAAATGTTAAAATCTTACAATGGATCGGCTCGTTTCATTTTCGAAACTCCTGCGATGGACTTTTCTATAAAAAGGAACGAGCTACAAAATACAACCGTTTACCGTGAAAATAATACGGAGCCGAATAACGGGCGTATAATTGATTTTGTTACGCTACAACATGCGTAGCGTATCAGCGGAAGGATCTGACGATTAACTTTAAAGCAACTTAAATGCGGTTATCGCGAGATCGAACGATAACAAAGCGGTCGGTCAGATCGTTGGCCAACAGTCTGGATAAGACGTTGTTCACCGCGATAATGGCAGGAAATTAATGGCAGCTAAGAGGGATGGGAACAACGGAAGAAGTAATGAAAAGATTGCTTTCCTTATTACCGTGTAAATTCATCCTACTTCGCCACGTTAACAGATGCAAGCGTGGCGCGATGAAACGCCGAAAGAAAGGAAAAGTGTTCCGTCTTTCGTGGGACGTGAAATGTTGTGAAATTTTGTAGAATAAATCGTTACGAAACGTCTGCGAAGACTTACGTAAAAGAAGTGGAATGAAAAAATTTACTCGTAGAGACAAGTCGCTAATTGACAGATACAATTACATTTTTGGCACATACGACACCGTGAAATGTTACTTTGTTTTTTTTTTTATTTATTACTGGCGAAGGAAATTCGAAAATTATCGCGGGAATCTGTTTTGGCACTTGTTTAAATACAACAGGGATCGCTGAACGCTTTTTGGCAAGCTTCGAAACAGGTACACGAACATCAGTCTTCTTATCTGTTTCCGCCTTTCATCGCTATCAAAATATTCAATTTGTTATTATTCCGAACACTTTAGATACTTGGATTTTTAAATTCTTTCCAGTCGATTCACGATGCACCACGGTGCACCATAAACAAGATCCATTTCCATAGAACACAGTATTGTTTTTCAAACATTCCCTCATAAATTCTAATTCACCTTTACGATATTTTTCACGAGACGTATTTTACGAGGCAGTTTATCCGAAAACACTTAGAGGGTTCGATATCCGATGCGCGAAAACTGCGTTATCCATGGACAACGTCTTCTACTAAAGTTTCGAACAGTTTCCAATCCAAGAATGATAATTTAATTCCTATTTTGACCGTCTGTCCGAGGGAAAAAGCATCGATTTATTCTCCCGGAGAGCTGGCCACTTCGTTCGACGAAACTTTATCGAAACGAAGAACGAGTTGGTTCGTTAATAGTTGCGAGAAAGTACTCGGATTAATTTATTCCATTACGTTAATTTTGCGGAGGTGGTTGTGTGAGGGCCACTTACGATTATGAACTCGTCGAAAGGACGATATCTTATCGGATGTTAAGAACATTTTTATTCCTTGATAATGTTCACCCTACAGCATTTTTCCCTCGGGATTACATTGGCCAGGCTTTGTATCGGGATTACGAGTCCACTCGTAACATTGTGACGATAAAGGGATTAAAATTTCCTGCTACCCAGCTCGGGTGTGCTCGTAACACGGAAGGAAAAAAAGAAATTTCATTTCCAACAACGAGTTCATTAAATACGCGATGAAACGCGTGAGTTTATAAGGCATACTCGAGGTTTAATTAAAAATTAATGAGTGTAATAATTTGTCCCAGGTGTATAAATAAAGAGGAATGTTTTACTTTTTATGGTCCGCTGCCGGAGGGTATCAGAATCACCAATTATCAGTTTTGTTTAATATCCTCCTACGCAATAATTAAAATGGTAAACAAGCAAACGGAAAAGCGAGCAGATAAGAAGAAGAATCTTAAAAGCACATCGGAAGATAATCTCCAAGCATTTGCGTCACAGGAATTTTCATCTGTCGAAGAGGAAGCCTTTGTGGAAGGCGTAATTAGAAA